TCTATCAGCTCTACAGTGAGAGTCTGATTGTGCACGAACTGAAACAGGAGCACAAGTCAACATAAAATAAATAATAATAACTGAAACTGAATTGAAGAGCTGAATTGAAAAAGAGATAAAGGCAAGGAGAATCACCTGCATCATCAGCAATTGGTTAGACCTGGCTGGGTCTGGAACTGATCTGCTGGATTCGCCCATCCCAGCAGTGGCCTTCAGCGACCAGATTCTTGCCCTATCTACTTCGGACATGCCAGCAAAATCGCCGAAGTAGGCTGTAGCACTTTCTCGGTTATGACCCCATATGAGGTCCCAGATGTGATCTGGGATTGGAATTCGAGGGGCCGAGAAACCCATTTCCCCAGACTGCAGCGTCTGGAAAGAAGGGAAGGATGACGATGGAGCTTCTTTAATCTTGGATGGCTCGGCATCCCCCTTCTTCTCAGAAGAGTCAATTATTATGACTTCTTCTTCTTCAGGTGTGAGGACAAAGGCCTCAACCTCTCTTGCAATGTCTGTCGTGAAACCCTCAGCACTGGGCATCACAGCATCCTCATTCCTGTGCTCAGCAGCACTCTCTTGAACTTCCTCTTGGACCCCTCCCTTAGGTTCGGGAGTTTTCTGATCCACCTCCATCTCGGGAGGTGGCGGAGGGGTCTTTGGAGGTGATTGAGGTGGTGGCCGGGGAACCCTCGGCGATCCATTGCCTTCCTCGGGTTCCCTTATTTCGATGCCGATGGTCATCGACCTCCGCTGAAAGTCATGCGGGCCGATGATGGCCATTCTTCGTCGCCTTTTCTGAAGCGGCTGCTCGTCCATGTCTGAGTCTGAAGACTCTTCTTGTATCTGGTCTTCGAGACGAACAGGGGCTTTCCCTTCTCTATGTCTATTACTCTCTTCGGACTGTAAAAGACAGGGGGGAGGAAGAATCTGAGTATAAAAAAAACAGAAACAGACAAAACTAAGTCTAAAAGCTCACCGAGGTCTTCAGCAAAGCCTCGTCTTCTTCAGCTGCCCTAGCTGCAGCTTCTTCTTCAGCAGCCCTGGAGGACCCTTCTCCTCCTTCACAAGCTTCGATAACCCGTGCAACCTCTTCGGCCGTACGGGCAGCTTCAGCTTCTTCGTCTAGCAGCTGAAACCAGGGATCTCTCTTCTTCCACCAAGGCTTCTGCCTCTGATACAGAGCAACAGCCTCAATTTGGAAATGGGAAGAGTCTAGATGAACTTCCCTATGCCTCGGTTCAGTGATAGAGGGGGCCCGATCAGTTACAACTCGTTCTCGGTTGACGCCAAGACGAGTGTAGTTAATGCCGACGTTGGTCTCGTCCCGCTCTGAAAAAGAAGAGGGAAAAGGTCAGTTCAGTTAGATTGGCACAGCATAAAAGAGCGAAGTGAAAACGGAGGAAAAAAGATAAATAAAAGGCCTCGGCTCCAGCCGAAGAAGCTTACCATCCTTAAACTTTCGGCTGAGGCCGACAGCTGCTAACATGTTCTCTTGGAAGACATAATGCGTATCGGGGAGCCAAGTCTCCGGGATATGCTGCATTCGACCGCTGCCCCCCCGGTTCGGCAGCTTGCCGAAGATGTTCTGTTAATTAAGGTTCGGATCTGGCCGTTATCTTCGGGGGGACCTAAACTTCCCATGTCGGGATCAGGCTCAGCAAGATACCTGGGAGCGCTGAAGATGCAAGGGTGGCCCGGGTCCGTGGGTGCCCTAACCCAAATCCATTGACCTCTCCATTCCTTGTCTGAAGAGTCGTTCGGCCACATGGTTAGGTACTGGGGCCGAGACTCGATCCGGTACCACCCAGAACCGTGACTTCCGTGCCCACTTTGAATATTTGGCACTAGCCGATGGAGGTTTTTGAAGCAGTGCAGGTTCGGCACATACCTGAAGAACTTGCAGACCCATAAGTATGTCATCACCCTTCGGATGCTAATGGGAGTTAGCTGACATAGGGAAATATTATAATGGATCAGCAAGTCTCGGACGAATACGTCCAAAGGGAACCTCAGCCCATACTGAATTTGTCTTGTGTACACCCCCACATACCCCGGGGGTGGACGATGGATTCTATCGGATGCCACGGGCATTCGGCACCAATACCCATCAGCTTCAAGGATGTCGTAGTGCAACTCAATCTGTTCGGCAAACCGATACTGTTCGGCATTCTCCACCCACCATGAGTAAGGGCGGTTCTTTATCATGGCCGAAGCTACTTCGGCATCCTCCCACTCTGAAAACCCAGGAAGGATGTCCCAAAGGATAGCGGGAACTTCGTCGTCCCGACCAGAAGCGCCGACCCCTCCGTTCTCTGAGGAGGAGCCGAAGAAATGGGAGTCGCCCTAATCCCTTCAGCAGGGTCCGGCTCTACTCTCTGTCCATTCCAGGTCCCAATCCTGTTCCTGGGATCGGGAATTGGCCTTGCTCTTCTTGGAGCACGGGCTCTACCTCTAACTCCTTTCACCATTGATGAATTTCGAAGAAAAAAGTCGAAAAAAGGGGAAGGAGTTCAAATTCGAAGAAAAATAAATTAAAATCAAAGGAATTTACCTTAATCTGAAGCGAAAGTTGCCGATTTACGAATTGATAGTGACGAGTCTCAGTTTCTAAGCTTAATGCTCGGGGAATTTGCGAAGTTTTGATGCGGGTTCTTGGGCTCTCTCGAGAATTTTGGGTTTGTGTTGGTGAATAAGTGAGGGGAGACGACGCGCCTCTAATTATATCTCCAGAAATGGGAATACTGGGAGTCCGCGTTTCAATTTCTCTTAAAATACCCCACTAAGTAACCGTTAAACACACGACCTTGCGATTAAACCGCCCATTATCTGTCCAACTTCCACAATTATTCGCCTTAACTGTTGTTATCTCATTAATTATGGTTTAATTACGGTTTAAATTCAAATTTCTTGGATTAATTAAATCATTCACTTCCCTCCTTTTCTGATTAAATCAAACCCGACCCGTCATCCCTCCAAATCGGGTCTGGGGGGCAAGTTGTTTGGGTCCAATTTAGTCCAATTGGGCCTAGTCATTAAATGATCTAATTAAAAGCCCAAGGTCAAGGTTCAACTTCCCAATTGTGCTAAAGTCAAGATCAGTCCAAGGCAAGTCAATTGGGCTAAGGCCCAACTTCTCCATATATGCAAAGGTATAAAAGCCATCAATATTACATTTGTACATTCATTCAAACAAAGCCTCAAGCAATTAATTCTCTTGCATAGCATTCTCTTTCTACACACTGTACTGACTCTAGCATCGGAGGGGCCTTCCTCGGCAACACCCCCGAGGCTAGTTTACGTGTGTTTACTGTGCAGGAAACCTTCGGCCCAACATCACTTGGACCGAATCCAGTCTTCTCTACTTCATCGGACCTTCGACGAGGTCCCATTGTTTTCACCCGAAACAAGTACATTTGACAATTCTGATAATAAAATGTAGCTAGCCATTGGGTAAATGGCTTTTCTGCCCTTAATAAAGGATATAATAAATTCTTATTAAAGTTTGGAGGTGAAAAATACAAAAAATAGATATGTTCAAATGGAATGCAAATTGAGTACAAAGTATCTATATACGAATTGTTAATTTTGTTTTTACTCTATAATTGAAGTTTACTTCTTGAACTTATGTTATTTGTACTTATTTTGATAATATAGGAGTACATTATAAAATTATTAAACTATACGGTGTATAAACAAATTGAATATGGAATTGCTTGATTTGAAGGCCAAACCCAATTAAAATGTTTTGCACAAAGTACCATTATTAGAATAAAGGTCCTTAGAAGTCAATATTTGTATCTTTCAATACGGAAATACCTTTCCTTGTTCCCAAGTTGGCCAAGTACACTCTCTTTGTATTCATTTATACAACTATATTATAGACTTCAATACAACTTTATGGTTGAAGGACTAAGTACAACTTTATGTTTTGAGGACTAAGTACAACATTATCAATGAAGTTTTTGAAATAATAAAAGAATACTTATTTTCCTAAGAAGAAATTGTAGATTTACCTTAGTTTTGTTTGTCCATGTACAATGAGAGTCAATCACATGAATAAGGGCTTGTTCTGATTCATCGAACTGAGCTGAATTGAATTGAAATGAACTGATTGAAGCTGAACTGAACTGAACTGAACTGTTTATAAGAGAAGGAAATTAGGAATTGAACTGAAATTAAGCTGAAGAGAACAAGATGTAAAAGAGATTTGATTTTAAGTTATAGGTATTCATAATTATATATGTAGGTTGACTATACATATCTCTCATATGAAATTATTTCAAATCAAATAAGTACGTACTTGAGCTTTAAAGTTATTGCATGCACTAACCTAAAAATGTGTTTAATAAATTAAGACAGAATTTGAGATAACGAAGTATTGTACCTAAACGCGATTGTGTACAACTTCATGTATGTACCACTTCATTTTTTATTTTATTTTTTGGCAGAATGTACCACTTCATATTGTGTACAACTTGATGTACCACAGAGTTGAAGGACTATAGTGACTAGTGAGGTAGCTAAAAACAAAATTTAAGGGCAACACGAGAAAGTGTGATAAAAATTGAAGTGAAGCATTTACGAAAATCATGTTCATCGTGTCAGTTGGCCTTAATGGAGCATCTTAGTATTCAACAGTAAAGTTGATCCAATCTCATATTCTCATGCATACATTACTAAGCTGAATTTGCTGCATAATAAAAGATCATACTGCTATGCTCAGACATTTATATAATTTATGTCTACATTTTTATAATTTTTCGAGTGAGATTAAGTTATGATTGAATTGATAACAACATAATCGTCTTTATATGGTGAGTCCAAAAGGAAGCTAATTAGTTGAGAAATGATGAGCCCAAAAAGAAATGCTTATTTGAATTTATATTATTATATTTACGTCTACAATTTTATGATAATATATATATATATATATATATATATATATATATATATATTGTATTTTTTTTTATTTCTTAACTTATATTATAAACCGACCCTTAATTATAAGTTTATATAAATTTGTTTAAAAAAAAAAGTTTATATAAACACTCAACAGCCTTCATATAAAGTTGTCGTTATCCATTAACAACTCTAATAATAGCCAATTCTTAATTTCTTATGAATCAATTGTGACCAATATTGTTGGCCATTAAAATAAAGAAAACTTCATCAAGGACCAATTACTTGTGTTAGTACACAATTAATCAAAATATATAAACACGTTGAAAAAAACATTCCCTTTGAAAATCAAAAAATATATTTAATAAAAAGGAAAAAAAAAACTCAATCTCATGTCAAGTTTAAAATGACACAATTCACATTTAAATCAACACTTTTTATTGAAGTAAAATAATAATCACCTAACTATAAGTTTGAAAACTCAAATTTTATCCACCACTTCATAAGAGCCTTTGACGGATCCTAAATTCTCCGCAATTAGGGAGTACCATAACATAACTCCAATTAAAATTGGAACATATTTTGAAAACCTTCCAACTTACCAAAAATGTAAAGCTAAACATAATGTTGCATGGTACACTTTACTAGTCATTCCCACCAACTAACCAAACCACCCAAAATTCCTAAATTCCAAAATTCCTAAATCATTTATTCTTCCTCCTTTTTCTTAACCGCTCCACTTCTCTCTCCTTCACTCTCCCTCTTTCTCTCTCTAAAACTCCCTCTTTCTTTCACTCTCTAGAATATGGTGAGAGTAAAACAACCACAAAAACAAGAATTACCAAACAATAATTATGATGTTAAATCTCATTTAGCCATTGATACCTGTAATATTTACCATAATTCTCATTTTTCTTGTATTCATATTAATAATAATAATCATTCTTTTGATAATTCCTCTATTCAATCTCATTTTATTGATTGGTACTTGATTCTCAGAGTAAGTTCTACTTTTTTCTAAAAAAAATTATTCATTTATTTAGTTTTGAAAATGTGACTCTGTTTTTAAAGAGTTTCTTGATAATGGGGTTTTGAATTTATTCTTTTTAATTTTGAAATTGCAGGTTACAGAAGATTCAAGCTTTTCTACCATTAAAAAGCAATACCATAATCTTGGTATTTTCTTAATCCTTTTTTTTTTAATAATGTTGATCAATATCAATATTAAACTATTAATCCCCTGTTTTAGGATCATAATTGACATATATATTGTTTGACATATAACAAAAATAAATATATTATCTTATAATTTTATATGAGGAATTATTTGGGTTTTTAATTTTATTTTTTTATGGGCTTTTTTGGATAGCATTGTTGCTTCATCCAGATAAGAATAAACATCCAAAGGCAGAGTTTGCTTTCAAGCTTATTTCTCAGGTATTTTTGTTATCATTATTCAAATTTCTGTTAAATTTTGTTGATTACTAGAATAATTAATTTCAAATTTTGGTGAAGTAATTATTTGGAAATAAGTGAAATGCTTAGTTAAGGACAAAATATTTGAATTTAGGCTCATGCACAAATAGGGAAATCTGTTTGGGCTCTGTTTTCAGAGTCAAAGATTATTATTGTTTTTGATTTTGATTTTCTGGGATTAGGATTTTTGGGGGTAACCACACTTGTCACACACCCTATTACCCTAATTTTCATAACATAAATTTTAACAACCCTTTTTTCATAAGAATGTGACCAAAATATAAGTTTTGAATGGATCGTACGTTCGGAATAGTGAAACAACGTTGTATATATACTACGTAGTATTTTAGTCGCTTAACAAGTAATTAAACACTTTATCATGTCGACATTCTTATGTGAAATGATACGGAGTAGTTTGATTATTAAACACGATTCTTTAATGTTGAATTTTTAACAATGTTAAGGTACAATCTTTAATGTCATAGACTCTTTTAGCTACCTAATAGCAGTAGTACTGACCTTAGTTTAACTAGTATCATACAATAAGTTATTTTCTTAGACGACCTTATCATTATTTATGATTTTTTTTTTCTCAGTAATGTTTGAAAAAGATTAAGCAATGTTAGAATAAGCATTTTCTTGGAATTGTTCACTGTTTCAAAAAAAAATATTAGGAAAACAATTAAACAATGTTTAGAAAACCTACGTTTATTATTATTAAAAAAGATGATAGACCCTGTTTAATAAAATTACAATTAAAGTTGATAGAGTCTGATGAAGCTATTATGTTGTATACTTAATTACTTTTATTAGTTCAACTCTCCATATCTATAGAAAAATAAAATGAATTTTTTTTAAGTATATTCCATGTAACCATAGATTATAATGTGAATAATATATAAATGTTTGAATTACATCACAAATGTTGTCTTATTTTGGTTGTTAGTTTATTTAATACTTGGTACATTTGAATGGCTATTATTAATTTTAACAAGCATCAAAAGACAAACAACCTAAGTTTCAATTTTAGTATGACCAAGTATCCTAAAATTGGAACAACTTGTCACTATAAAAAATAAAAATAAAAATAAAAAATTGAACAAGGTGTGTGTAATAATTGCTTGTATGGCTTTATCATTTGGTTGTAGTCAATTTTAGAGAAGATCCATTATTCATGATATTACATAATATGAGACATTTGGTTGTAACATACTCAAGATAGCACCATCACATTTTTCATGGTGAAATGGTCAAGTTATTTTTTATATAGATTATAAAGATGGTATATATCTATATATATATAGTGAATGCTTACTTAAATTTTAGTCAACAATATTACAAATCTCTTTGTGTTATTCAATTGTTGTGTTGATTCTACTTTAGAATTTCTTATCTATTACTGTATATATCGTTACGATATTACCATTTTGATTTTTTAAGAATTAGTGTTTAAATTTCATATGAACACTCAGAATGCATGAAAGGAGATAATTTTAAACGTTCATGAGGAAATAAAGTTATTGTTTGAATGTACATAAACGGAAGTGATTCATATAAATTTGAGGATATAATTGTGCATGCGTATTCTAAGTTTTAAAGCTTGGTCTTAAGTGGGTTAACTATCAAGTCAAATTAACCTAATTTCAAAAAATAGGCTATATGTTCTCATTTATCTTTTTTGTTACCATTTTTAACCACTAAATACATTTTACAGGCATACAATTGTCTATCTGATGAAGCAAAAAGAATATCATTCAACTTAGAAAGGTTGAGAAACCATTGCACTCAATGCAGCAGAATCCCACACAACACAAATCCTACACACAATTCCAATACTAGCTCAAGCAACTCTTCAAACTCAACAAAAAACTCGAAATTTTACAAATTACAGCAGCATTGCAGAGCCATCAGAGATCAACTAATACATGAAGCCAAGGTCATAGAAAGCTGCATCAGAGTCCATCAACGTCCAAAAAACGAGTACCCGGTTTTCGATCCATCAAGTTACACACACTCAGGCTACCCACATATGAGAAACAACCATCATCATAATAATCTGTTTTACAAGAAAGGTGCAAGTTTTAGGGATGTACCAAATCGGAAAGTGTTTCCGAATTTTGATCAAAGAAAAGGCAGGTGTGAAATCCCCATTTTTGAGCTTAGAACAGATTGTAGCTCATTGAACATTAATTCTGCTTGTGTTAGTTCTTGACAAACAATTTAGTATGATTATACATTCTTTAGTCTTGGCCTATTTTCTGCAGCGCAGACAAGCAATTTTACAGTAAAATGATTTTTTTTTTTTTTGTTGGCAAATTCTTATTTTCCATAATAATTGTTATGAAATTAGGCAAAGGGTTAGTCAAAAAGCTATCAAAATGTCGGATCAACATGCTTAATTATTCAAGTCAATCTCACCTAATATTTAGGTTTGTTAGGGGAATTAAAGAGTTTTTCCTTTAAATCAGCAATAATTTAAAGACTTTCCAACTAGAGTTGTCAATTCAGGTAAACGGGTCGGGTTTGGATCGGGTAAGAGTAGGTCGGGTCAACCAGGGTCGTGTCAATTCAGATTAATTTCATAACCTATGCGGGTCGGGTTTGGGTTGGGTCATGCTAAAGTTGGGTCACGTCGGGTCATACTTCTTATCGGGTTTAGGTCGGGTTACATTCGTGTCAGGTGAACAACAAGTTGGGTTTAATTCTGGTTTTCACGGGTTAAAACGGATTAGGGTAATTCTCGGGTTCGAGTCGGGTTCGTTTCAAGTCAATAATTTGAGGGTTAGAATCAGGTCGGATCATTCAGGGTCGTGTCAATTCAGATTAATTTCATAACCAATGCGGGTCGGGTTTGGGTTGGGTCATGCCTGAGTTGGGTCACGTCGGGTCATACTTCTTATCGGGTTTAGGTCGGGTTACATTCGTGTCGGATGAACAACAAGTTGGGTTTAATTCTGGTTTTCACGGGTTAAAACGGATTAGGGTAATTCTCGGGTTCGAGTCGGGTTCGTTTCAAGTCAATAATTTGCGGGTTAGAATCAGGTCGGGTCATTCTCGGGTATGAGTCGGGTTTGGTTCAAGTCAATAATTTGCAGGTTATAATCAGGTCTGGTCATTTTCAAATCAGGTCATTATCGGGTTCAAGCCGGGTTCGATTCCAGTCAATAATTTGCGGGTTATAATCAGGTTGGGTCATTTCCAAGTCGGGTTATTCTCGAATTCAAGTCGGGTTATGTTTAAGTCAATAATTTGCAGGTTACAATCAGGTCGGGTCAATTCCAAGTCAGGTCATATTGTGGTTCAACTGATTATAAATAGATAATTATCATTTTTATCAAGCTAATTATTTCTTTTGACTATAATATATATGGCAATGCAATATACTAAGGAACTACAGTCTATAATTTAGGAAGATAATTATCTCCTTTGACCATACAACAAATATATATTATATTTAACTCTTAAACTTCAGGATGATGCTCCTTTCTTTTGCTGGCCTGGACCGACTTGGTCTCCCTAGACAAAATGCTTTGATCAACAATAATAAGGTGGTCTAAATTGCACTTAAGGTGATTTGAAATCGGGTCGGGAATAATTTGGGCTGAATATAGGTGGGGTCAATAACAAATCGTGTTAATTTCGAGTCGAGTTAATAACAGATCGGGTTGAATTTTAAGGTCGGGTAAGTAATAGATCTGATAAATGTCGGGTCGAGTCAATAACAAGTCGGATTTAATTTGGCTCAGGTCAATAACAAGTCGGGTTGATTTCGGGTCAGGTTTGTAACAGGTTGGGTTTTTTTAAGGTCGGGTTGAATTCAGGTCAAGTTAGTAAAAAGTCGGGTTAAATTCGGGTTTTGACAGGTTAAAACAGGTTTGAGTCAATTTCAGTTCAAGTCGGGTTCGGTACAATTTAATAAAATTGGTCGTTGTAAACCGGTAAATCGGTGCAAGTTTTAAACTGGTAAATTGGTCGTTTAAAGACAAATTGGATGGTTCCACCCACCCAATTGGACTCCCATACGGTATTAGGGACCATGATAAACATTTCGGCCATTTTTATTCCGAGCGAAAAAAAAGTCAAAAAATAAATTGAAGGCTAATATCCACGCTTTTTTAGAAATTTATGAGGTTTCGGGGCTCGGTGTCGAAAAGCTTTGAGATTTTAGGGGATACATCTCAGGGTCATATAATACTGTTTTAAAACATAAATGTATGTTGTCGTAAATGTTCGTGGTAGGCTTGATGTAATGAAATCGGTGTAAGTTGTAAACCGGTAAATTCGTCATTTAAAGGCAAATTGGATGGTTTCACCCACCAAATTGGACTCCCAAAGGGTATTAGGGAACATGGTAAACATTTTGGCAATTTTTATATCCGTGCGAAAAAAGTCAAAAAATCCCAAAATTGAAGGCTTATATCCACACTTTTTGAGAAATTTTGGAGGTTTTGGGGCCCGGTGTCGAAAATCCTTGAGATTTTAGAGAATACATCTCGGGATCATATAATGTCGCTTGGAACCATATAAGATCATTATATGTTATAATAAATGTTTGTGGTAGGTTTGAGTTAATAAAATTGATGCAAGTTGTTAATCGGTAAATTGGAGGTTTAAAGGCAAATTGGATTGTCCCACCCATCCAATTGGACTCCCGAAGGATATTAGGGACCAAGGTAAAAATTTTCTCAATTTTTATTTTTGGACAAAAAAAAGTTAAAAAAAATTCCGAAATTGAAGTCTAATATCCACACTTTTACGAAATTTTGGAGGTTTCGAGGCCCGGTGTTGAAAAGTTTAGAAATTTTAGGGAATACATTTCTGGGTCATATAATGTCGTTTGGAACCATATAAGATCATTATTTTTTGTCATAAATGTTCGTTGTAGGCTTGAGTTAATAAAATCAGTGCAAGTTGTAAACCGGTAACTCGACTTTTTAAAGTCAAATTGGATGGTTGCACCAAGCCAGGTGGACACCCAGAGGGTAGGGACCATTGTAAACATTACGGCAATTCTTATTTCCGGGCAAAAAAAAGTCAAAAAAATTCTAAAATTGAAGTCTAATATCTACGAATTTTGAGAAATTTTGGAGCGTTCGGGGCCTGGTTTCTAAAAGTCTCAAAATTCTAGGGAATACATATCGGGTTCATATACTGTCGTTTGGAAACATATATGATCATTATATGTTGTCATAAATGTTCTTGTAGGCTCAAAGTTAATGAAATCAGTGCAAGTTGTAAATCGGTAAATTGGCCTTTTAATTTTTTAAAGGCAAATTTGATGGTTCCACCCACCTAATTGGACTCCCGGAGGGTATTCGGGATCATGGTTAACATTTCGGAAATTTTTATTTTCGGGCGAAAAAAAGTAAAAAAATTCCAAAATTGAAGTCTAATATCCACGCTTTTTGAGAAATTTAGGAGATTTAGGGGCCCGGTGTTGTTGAAAAGTCTTGATATTTTAGGGAATACATCTTAGGGTCATATAATATCATTTGTAACCATGTATGATCATTATTTGTTGTCATAAGTACTTGTTCGTAGTAGGCTTGAATTAATGAAATCGATACAAGTTGTAAATCGGTAAATTGGTCGTTTAAAGGCAAAATTTGATGGTTCCACCCATCCAATTGGACTTGTGGAGGGTATTAGGATCTATGGTTAACATTTCAACAATTTTTATTTCCGAGCGAAAAAAAGTCAAAAATTTTCAAAATTAAATCCACGCAATTTGCGAAATTATGGAGGTTTCAGGACCCGGTGTCGAAAAGTCTTCAAATTCTAGGGGATACATCTCGGGGTCATATAATTCCGTTTGGAACCATGTATAATCATTATATGTTGTCTAAATGTTCGTGGTAGGCTTGAATTAATGAAATCAGTGCAAGTTTTAAACCAATAAATTGGCGTTTAAAGGCAAATTAGATATTTCAACCCACCTAATTAGACTCCCGGAGGATATTAAAGACCATGGTAAAAATTTCGGCAAATTTTATTTCGGGGCGAAAATAAGTCAAAAAATTCCAAAAATGAAGGTTATAATACACGCTTTTTGATAAATTTTGGAGGTTTTGGGAACCGGTGTCGAAAAGCCTTTAGATTTTAAGAGATATATCTCGAGGTCATATAATGCCGTTTGGAATCATATATAATCATTATATGTTGTCATAAATGTTCGTGGTAAGCTTGAGTTATGAAATCGGTGCAAGTTGTTAACCGGTAATTTGGCCTTTTAAAGGCAAATTGGATGGTTCCACCCACCCAATTGGACTTCCGGAGGGTATTAGAGAACATGATAAACATTTCGGCAATTTTTATTTCCTGGCGAAAAAAGTCAAAAAATTAAAAAAATAAACGCTAATATCCACCTTTTTGAGAAATTTTGGAGTCTTCGGGATCCAGAGTCTAAAAGTCTCAAAATTCAAGGGAATACATCTCAGTGTCATATAATGTCATTTGGAACCATATGTGATCATTATTTTTGTCATAAATGTTCGTGGTAGGCTTGAGTTAATGAAATTTGTGCAAGTTGTAAACCGGTAAATTGGTCGTTTAAAGACAAATTGGATGGTTCCACCCACCCATTTGGACTCCCAGAGGGTATTAAGGACCATGGTAAACATTTCGGCAATTTTTATTTCCAGTCAAAAAATTCCAAAATTGAAGGCTAATATCCACACTTTTTTAGAAATTTTTGAGGTTTCTGGGCTCGGTGTCAATACAATTTGAGATTTTAGGGGATACATCTCGGGGTCATATTATACTGTTTTAAACCATAAATGATCATTATATGTTGTCATAAATGTTCTTGGTAGGCTTGATTTAATGAAATCGGTGCAAGTTGTAAAACGGTAAATTCGCCATTTAATTTTTTAAAGGCAAATTTGATGGTTCCACCCACCTAATTAGACTCCCGGAGAATATTAGGGACCATGGTAAACATTTCGAAAATTTTTATATTCGTGCGAAAAAAAGTCAAAAAATTCCATAGTTGAAGGCTTATATCCATGCTTTTTGAGAAATTTTGGAGGTTTTGGGGTCCAGTGTCGAAAAGCATTGAGATTTTAGAAAATACATCTCGGGGTCATATAATGTCGTTTGGAACCATAAGTAATCATTATATGTTGTCATAAATGTTTGTCTTAGGCTTGAATTAATGAAACCGGTGACAGTTGTAAATTGGTAAATTTGTCGTTTAAAGGTAAATTGGATGGTTCCACCCACCCAATGGTACTCCCGGAGGGTA